AGTGACTTTATTGTTATTTTTGAATTAATTAATAAGTATTTCAAAAATAGTTTCAGAATCTGATACAGTGAATAATAATAGGTATAACCCATATAAACAAAACTCTTTGAGTTCCTCAGTAATTTTTAATAGTGTAAAGGAGACCTGATACAAAACATTTTGAGAACCACTAATGTAGTGCTCTGCACAAAGCACTTTCCATATTCATTATCTTGTACTCACAACCACCTTATGAGTTACATATTACCCTGATTTTATAGATGACAATACTACAACACAAAAAGGCAGTATATATATTCTAGTTAGCAACCTTTCCAGATCTGATGGTCCTCCCAGTGTGGTTTACCTTCTTGGTGGTTTGCTTCTGAGCTGACTTTTGTAAGTCCCATCTCCTTACAGCCTCCCTGTTCCAATTGATGTTTCTTACATTGTTTTTCATAATGCAAGTACAGTACGTGTACCTTAAAAAAAAGTCATTCATAAGAATGTAAAGACTGTCCTTAATCCTCCCCACTGGAGATCGTTGTTAATTCTTAGCGTGTATCTCTCCAGATACTTTTCCAGGACTGTTGAATTATCAGCGTAATGCTGGTATTAAAAGGACTTTGGGGTCAAATGTCAAATAGCTCTTAGTGTGAATCCCAGCTCTCTGAACTGCTAGCTGCTTGGACAAGTTATTTAACATCTAAGCCTTTGTTCCTCATCCGTAAAATGGGAATAGTGAAGGTGCCTCCTTTGCAAGGGCGGTTCTGAGGCTGAAGTGAGGTAGTGCGTGGAAAGCAGCGCAGTCTTGACATGTCATAAACATCCTGCAAATGCCAGCTACTGAGGTGGTTGTGTACACACAGGTAGATCAGTACATATGCGCAAATATATTGGAGTATATTTTACATACCCTTTTTTAGTGCACAGCCATCTGCATTTTTTTTTTTAGATTTTATATATTTATTTGACACACAGAGAGAGAGACATTGAGAGAGGGAACACAAGCAGGGGGAGTGGGAGAGGGAGAAGCAGACTTCCCGCTGAGCAGGGAGCCCAATGCTGGACTCAATCCCAGGACCCGGGGATCTTGACCTGAGCTGAAGGCACACGCTTAACAACTGAGCCACCCAGGCGCCCATCCCTCTGTGTTTTGATAAATCCATCTATCTGTGTAACCACCACCCAAACAAAGATCTAGGTATAACACAGTTCATCACTGCCAAAACAATTCCCTCCTGTCCCTTCATAGTCCACTTTTTCCTCCCACACAACCACTGGTAACCACACTGACAGATTTTCTGTATCTACACTTTTGCCTTTTCTAGACCCTCAGCTATATGGAATCCTACAGGATGTTTGTGTTTCCCCTGCACTTGTATTTGTATCATTTCCTTTCTTCTGCTTACTTTTTAAAATTTCCTTCTCTTCCTAGTTTCTTTTTTTTTTTAAGATTTTATTTATTTATTTATTTGAGAGAGAGGGAACCAGAGAGAGCACAAGCAGGGGAAGGGGGAGAGGGAGAAGCAGACTCCCTGCTGAGAAGGGATTCCCAACATGGGTTTCAATCCCAGGACCCTAGGATCATGACCTGAGTGAAAGGCAGACACCCAACCAACTGGGTCACCCAGGCACCCCCTCTTCCTAGTTTCTTAAGGTGCATCTTAGATCATTGACTTTAGATCTTTTCTAATGTAAGCATTTGATGCTATAAAGTTCCCTTAAGTACTGCTTTAGCTGGAGCTCCATAAATTTTAGTAGGCTGTATTTCTACTTTCATTTCGTCTGGAATTTTTCAAAATCTCCTTGTGTTTTTTTTTTTCTTCTACATATGGATTATATAGAACAGTATTGTTTAATATGCAGGTATTTTGAGAATTTTCCAGATGTCTCTCTGTTGTTGACATTTAGTTTAATTTCATCGTGTATGGAGATTTAATTTCTATGACTTTGATCCTTTTAAATTTGTTGAGTCTTGTTTTATGACCCAGATTTCAGTCTGTCTTGATGAGGCCTTCTCCTTCCTTGCCTCTCCTCAGCCTGCACGTGCATTTGGAAGGAATGTGTATTTTGCTGTTGGAGGAGGAATGCTTTATCAGTATCAGTTAGGCTATGTTGGTTGATAGAGTTATTACGTTCTTGTGTATCCTTAGTAATTTCTGTGTGTTCTGTCAGTTATTGAGAGGTGTTAATTTTCAATAATTGTGGATTTTTCCATTTTTCCTTAGTATTTTCTACATGTATCGTGAAGTTTTGTTATTAGGTACACAAATATGTAGTTGTTAGATGCTTTTTGACAAATTGACCTCTTATCATTATGAACTGCCCCTATTTGTCACTGGTAATATTTCTTGTTCAAAAACACAACTTGTCTTATTTTGTGGCAGGCAGAGTGGGCCCCCAAAGATATCCAGGCCTTAAGCTCTGGAATCTCTGACTGTTGTATTACATGGTAGGGGGTACTTGGCAGAAGTGTCTAAGGTTATAGTACTAGTTTCTATTGTTTCCATGACAAATTAGCACAGATGTAGTGTTGTAAAACGACACAGAACTTATTATCTCACATTTCTGTGGGTCAGAAGTGTGGGTATACCAGGGCTAAGTTGAATTTTCTGCTTGGAGTCTCACAAGGCCAAAATCAAGGTGTGGGCCGGGCCGCATTCCTTTCTGGGGCTCTGGGGATTAATCTGCTCCAGACTCTTTTGGGTTGTTGTCAGAATTTAGTTCCTTACAGTTGTAGGACTAAGAACCCCATTTTTCTTGCTGGCTGTTGGCAGGAATCATTCTCAACTTCTAGAATCTGCCTGCATTCCTTGGCTCATGGCTTCCTTCCTCCGTCTTCAAAGCCAGCAAAAGCAGGTTGAATCCTTCTCATGTTTAGAATTTTTCTGACTTCCCCTTCTGCCTCATCTCTCCTCTTCTGCTGGGTCTGACTCACTTGTAGGCCTCCTTTTTCTGCATTTAAGGATTCATATGATTACATTGGGCTCACCTGGATAATGTGGGATAATCTCCCTATTTTTAAAAAGATTTTATTTATTTTTGAGAGAGAGACAGTGAGAAAAAGAGGGAGAGAGCACAAGCAGGGGAAGTGGCAGGCAGAGGGAGAAGGAGAAGCAGACCCCCATCAATCAGGGAGCCCGATGTGGGGCTTGATCCCAGGACCCTGGGATCTTGACCAGAGCCGAAGGCAGACACTTAACCCACTGAGCCGCCCTGACGCACTAATATCCCTATATTAAGGTGACCTGATAGGTAACCTTAATTCCAACTACAAAGTCCTTTCATATTAGTACCTAGATTAGTGTTTGATTAACCAGGAGACAGGAATTTGGAGGAACACCTTTAGAATTCTGCCTATCACAGTTCTGCACTTGATAGGAACAGTATCCTGGATTACCCAGGTGGACCCAGTCTGTCACATGAGCTCCTCTAAGCAGAGAGCTTTCACTGGAAGCAGGAGCAATGTGGCAGAAGTCAGAAGAATTCTAAGTGTGAGAAAGATTCCATATGCTGTTGCTGGCTCTGAGATGCAAAGGCTTATGTGCAGGGATGAGAGAGGGTCTCTGGGGTCCAAGAGCAGCCGCAAGCTGACAGCGCATGAAGAAACTGAGACCTCAGTCCTACAGCCACAAGAAACCAAATTGCCGGCAACCCAAATGAACTTGGAAGCATATTCTTCCCGGGATCCCTTGATAAGAGCCCAGCCGACTGACGTCTTGGTTTCAGCCTTATAAGCATCTGAGCAGCCAAAGCAACCAAGCTCGTCTGGACTTCTGACATATACAACTGTGAGCTAATAAGTTTGTGGTGATTCATTAGAGCAACAATAGAGGACTAAAACAGGTGTTAATATGCCACTCCAGCTTTCTTTTGGTTAGTGCTTGCTTGATATAACTTTTTCTCTCCTTTCAGTTTTAATCTGTGATTTTATAAATAGATGAAGTGTGTTTCTTTTTTTTTTTTTAAAGATTTTATTTATTTATTTGACAGAGATCACAGGTAGGCAGAGAGGCAGACAGAGAGAGAGAGGAAGGGAAGCAAGGCTCCCTGCTGAGCAGAGAGCCCGATGCGGGACTCCATCCCAGGACCCTGGGATCATGACCCAAGCCGAAGGCAGAGGCTTTAACCCACTGAGCCATCCAGGTGCCCCAGGAAGTCCCTTTTATGTGAAATGTGAGTGTGCATGTATAATCTGTTCAGTCACAGAAAGTATAATACAGGTACTAAAATGTTACTGTATCTGAACACGGCAGATTAAAGATGCCATACTGGGGCGCCTAGGTGGCTCAGTGGGTTAAAGCCTCTGCCTTCAGTTCGGGTCATGATCTCAGGGTCCTGGGATCGAGTCCTGCATTGGGCTCTCTGCTCCGCAGAGAGCCTGCTCCCCATCTCTATCTGTCTGCCTCTCTGCCCACTTGTGAGCTCTGTCTGTCAAATAAATAAAAATCTTTAAAAAATAAATAAAAATGCTATACCTTTTAAAAAATAAAATCAAATGATTAGCTGGTGACAAAACTTGACCATATCTAAAACATGTCAGCCTTTTTCAGTCTCCATGTTTTAGTACATCTAGTTCCTTCTGCTTGGAATGCTCCCTCCTCTCACAGTCTTTCTTGCCGAGCAGCTTTCCACATATCTTCTGGAACCAGCTCCAGGGGCATCACTTAACCTGCTTCTTCGAGTCCCCAGACAGAATCCAGATTTCTTCTTCTGGCTTCCCATCACACTCTATCCTTGCTCTATTCCAGCACATACCATGCTGTATTATAATTCTGTGTTTCTGTACGGCCTCCCTCCTACCAGGAAGCCCTGGAAAGCAGGGAACTTATTTTAGTCTCCTTTATGTTTCGCTAATCCCCTAACATAGTATGTCTATGACATAGAACTTTTTAATACACGATGTTGAATTAGTGACTCTTTACACATGCTCAAAAATACTGCTGTTATGACTCTCCATTTCAGTATCACATATTTGTAAAAGTGAGTCTTCTTTAATCATTTTACTTTTCTCCTAGTAAATTCCTCATCTACGCCTGTCTCCTGCTGTTCTCTGTGCTGCTGGCCCTTCGTCTGGATGGCATCATTCAGTGGAGTTACTGGGCTGTCTTTGCTCCAATATGGCTGTGGAAGTTGATGGTCATTGTTGGAGCCTCAGTTGGAACCGGAGTCTGGGCACGAAATCCCCAATATCGGTAATACTGCTTTATATAACTCATTGACCTCTACCCCAAGGGAACAGTGTCTTGTTTTTCCACTTTTGATTAAGTAAGGACTATTTTTTCTGCCTATCTGTGGTTTTATAGGAACTATAATACAAGCAAACTGGGTTCTGTTCTAAGTTTTTTAAAAATTAGGGGTTTGATAAGCATTTTAAAATAAAAACAGTGTCATCTGGGGTGCTTAAGATCCTAGCCAGCCCACAAAAGCCAGTGTAATTGAAAATGCATCCAAAATATCGAACTGTTGCACCATGCTAGGCTAGGAAGCATAAAACTATCATGTTTGCAGGAGCAGTCCTATAAAACAGAAGCCTGGCTTTGGTCATCAGGGATCTGTCTGTCTCCTGTTTTGTCCTGGAATTGGGGTTCCCCTTGTCCCAATCTCCTAGTCCTGGGGTTTTAGGACTGTTAGTGGTATGTATGTTGGGGGGTAGCTTGGCCAGGAAACAGTGAGTTAGTGAGCCAGGAAAAGAGGAGGCCCAGATGCTGTGAAGGAGAACAGAGCCTTTGGGGGCCAGGCAGAGGGGTAAGTAAGCTTTACCTTCAACACCCCCGTGCCTTTCTTCTTGGGTGCCTCAACTCGTTCAGGTTCCTAGAGTTGGCTCAGCTCTGGAATACAGCCTAGTACTGCTGGGGCCCAAAGAGTCTCTGCCCCCTCACAGAGGTTGGCACTTCAGAAAGGGAAAAGGGAACCTTGAGGGGCTGTCCTCGGCGTTCAGCAGGAAGACAGGGAGGGGAGGAGTGCCCGGTGGGCAAGCGGGACGCATGCAGCTGCTCACGTGGGAGAAGTGCAGATGTTTCAGTCTTGACTAGCTTTAAAAATAAGAGTTAGCCCATGTCACATCCATAGCCAGATGCGTATCTAAGAACTTTAAAATAGTCCAACAGAGAGCCTTGGCAGATGGGGGACATTTGTAACTGTTTTAAAGTCCTTAGACTTTCCTATTTCTTTTTTAAGGTTACCTGTGCAGCTGACAGATCTTTTCTTTTTTATAAAATATTTTCAGATATCTAATATTTTTGTCTCAAAGAATGAAAAGTTAAATAACTAAACCATTTAGGGTCCACTAATTGATACTGAGAACCTATTTGAGCTTTGCCATATTGGTTTAAGTTAAGATTTTTTAGAGGGAGGAAAGGTTCTGTGTGTGTGTAGTTGAATGTAGTGACTGTGGAGGCGTGGTCATTCAGCGTTCACATTCTCCGGTGGACCGTTGCTAGGTCCTGTACGGGTGACCACTGGTTTCATTTTCTCTGTGTCCTAACCTCGGATGTATTTATCATCAGGAATATACATCATAAAATGTTTATCTGTATTTTGAATGAAACACTGTAGACCTTCCAAATGCATTTTTAAGCATTTTCCTGATTAACGGCCTAATTTTTCAGTTGTTAATCTGATAAGTTCCTGCATGATACTTTAAATAGCCAATTAAACTGATTTTGTTTAAAAACAGTTTTAACTGCTCTTCCTTCTCTTTAATCTGCAGGTGTTAATTCATCTTCATGGAATAGAAAGGAAAATATAAAGATGTTCATAATTTTATCAGTATTTTTAAATAGCACCTAACAATAGTTACTATATATTCTTGAAATATAACCCACAGCTTATTAAAAAAAGCCAGTTACTTTTATAGTATTGCATGGAATGTGATTTACATGGTTTTTAATTTATTAAGAGATGAAGATCTTGAGATTTAAGGGATATTTGTCTGTTTTTAGTAGTAGAAGCAGTCAGCTCGAATCATCTTGGAAGTAGTTGAATTTAAAGTTATGAATAAAAGCATTTATGTTGGGGTGTCTGGCTGGCTCAGTGGGTTAAGCCGCTGCCTTTGGCTCAGGTCATGATCTCAGGGACCTGGGATCGAGCCCCACATCGGGCTCTCTGCTCGGCGGGGAGCCTGCTTCCCCCCCCCTCTCTCCCTGCCTTTCTGCCTACTGTAATCTCTGCCTGTCAAATAAATAAATAAAATCTTTAAAAAAAAAGCATTTATGTTTACTGTCAGGGAAGGAATAACTCCGGCTGTTACTTCTGAGAATGTCGTTATCCAGTTAAAACTTTGGTTTGGCTGTGATGTTCCTTTACCGTCATGTAATAATTTGGGGCATTTGAAAGATTGCCTACCTAAAGATTAAGTTTAAGTTTGCTTTCTACCTAACTTCCTTTGCTTTTTGTCAAATTGATAAATATCGCTTATAGCATCAACATAAGTTGGTCTTTGCCCTGGACGACCTGCCTGTTTTGGAGATTCCGAACTGAGTGTTTTTCTTCTTCTGATGTCCTTTTTCAGAGCAGAAGGAGAAACATGTGTGGAGTTTAAAGCCATGTTAATTGCCGTGGGCATCCACTTGCTCCTGTTGATGTTCGAAGTTCTGGTCTGTGACAGGATCGAGCGAGGAAGCCATTTCTGGCTTCTGGTCTTCATGCCTCTGTTCTTCGTCTCCCCGGTGTCCGTTGCAGCTTGTGTCTGGGGCTTTCGACATGACCGGTCACTGGAGGTGAGATTTCATGCATTTAAGAAGGTTTTAAAAAGTCAAATCTTTTGGTCTGTTATTGTAATGTAGATTTCTTGTCCTTCATTAGGAAGAGATAAGTCATTAACTCTAGATTATGGTGTGTAAGGAAACAGAAGCTGATGGGAATAATCATGGTTCTCTCTTTTGACTTAGAACACAGGCTTTTCACCCAAGCCCTCAGGCTCCATCCAGCTCCGTGGTTTCCCCTAGCCACCTGTGTGGGTCAGGCTTCTCCTGAGAAACGGAGCCAATGGGAGAGGTGGGGAATGGGAGAAGGGAGGGAGAAAAGAAGAGAAAGAGGGGGAGGGAGAGCATGACTGATTACTTCTATGGAGCTTGGCTCACACACTTGTGGGGCTGACAGGTCTGAAATTCATGGGGCGGACCAGCCGGCAGGAGACGTGGCCTGAGTTGGTGCTGCCGTCCTGAGACAGAGTCTCCAGGAAACCTCAGGCCCTCTAACTCATTTGATGAAACCACCCAGTACCGAGGGTGATCTTTACTGGAAGGCAGTCCTTCCACTGCAGTACCTAGACTCGTGCCTGATCCGGGAAGCGGTCCTGTGTGGGCCCAGCCAGTGGGCCCCGCAGAGCCCGGGTCTGGTGCTTTGTCTGCTCTCTTATTGGCTTCAAGCCCGACACAGGGCAGACACGACTGAATACAGAAGCAGTGCGAGCAGCCCTAATACTAGGATCGGAAATGAGTGCAGGTCACATTGGCCGAGCCCTCACTGTGTGCCAGGCACCTGGCTGGTCCCTTCCCGCGCAGCAGGGCCTTCGTAGAGGGGCACCACCACCCCGCAAAGCAGGTGCAGCGGCCACCCCTGTTTTGTGACGGGGAAGGGATCTGGTCCTGGCCATTCGTTCAGGGGCAGGGCCGGGGCCAGGACCCCGCGTCCGTCAACCTGACTCCAGAGCCTGCCCACCGACCCGCATGGAAGCTGAGGGCCCAAAGCCCTCTACAGATGGGATGAGGGGAGACCTGGATGCTAGGGAGGCTCTGTTCTCAGCTGGGTGAGTAACAAGCGGAGGAAGGAGAATGGCTGTGGGGCTGGAAGGCTCCCGGAAAGAGGGCGGGTGAGAGAGCAAGGCTCCATGGGAACCCATGGGAACAGGACCCTGAGTGCCAGGACGCTTGGTCTTCACCGAGAAGAGGGCACGGGCATGGGGGTAGTGTGGCTGCTCTGCTGCCATCTGAGGGCCCACTCTCCCCTCCCTGCCCTTCCCCCAGCCTTCCATAGCCCGGCCACTTGTCTGCAAGGCTCCTCTGGCTGCTTGCCAGTGGGAGGAACGCTATCATAAAGGAGTACAGTTAAGAAAAAAGTTGTCTGGAAGATTCCCTGGGTGACGCTCAGGAGAGCGAGGTGGGGAAGCACAGGGACCCTCCTTGCCCCCTGGGCGACTTGGTACCTGTCCAGCCTCTGCCCGGTGCTCCTCCCGCTGCAGGCAGACCCTCGCCCCTTCCTGTTCCTCGGTGCATTTGCTCCTGTGCTCATCTGGTAACTTGGGCTCTCCCATCTGAAAGAGAAAGTAAAATGACAGCAGCAAAAGCTTCTCAGTCCTCTGTTTGGCTCTTGTGCCTTTCTCGTCGTTTAAGAAAGGCTTCGTCCAGTAGAGCCCATCTGACCTCGGGCTCCCTGATCAGCCTCCCACCCGCCGGACACTGGCCAGACCCAGCAGGCCCTCTCAGTCCGTTTTCTCCGGCCACCAGCCATGCTGTGGCTTCTGACACTGCTGGGCCTTTGACTAGACTGGCACCCTCTGCTTTGGCTCCGTTGTTGCTGCTGAGGATTCTAGGCTTGGGTTTTCTGTCCTCGCTGTGCACATCTGTGAGCCACACTGCGGATGATGTCGCTTACTTCCTGTCTCAGCCGCCACTTCCATGCTGTCATCTCCCGCACGCGGTCGAACGCAGATTTCAGTGTCAGCTCCAGACCCCTTCTCCAGCGTCACCTGAATCTGTATCTCTGTGCGGGTCAAAGGCACCATTTCCACCCAGTCACCCTCACTGTTCTCCTTTATGCCCCTGTTGCTCTGCATGGTTTCTCTAGCACCTGTGCCCATGAAGCAAAACCAAGCTTTAAAAATCCTTTGCAAAAAGCTTATGTTAAACAGGATCACAGCGATCACACTTTCCACACACTGTTTGGCTCAGCGTGTCTCAGTGAGGGAGGGACATGTGCTGTTGGCCTCTTGGATAGGAAATGTTTTGTTCAACGGGACTGTCTCATGCGTGGCTGGACACTTCTGCCTGACCTCTGCCGACTAAATGCTGGTGGAGGGGTTCTCCCCACAGGTGTGTGAGAGACCCAGGGGCACTGCTGCACCATTGCTAGCCTCTTCCTGGGGTGGGAGCTGTGTCGCCTAGGTCGAAAAGCTCCAAGAGAGCCATCTAAATGTAGTTGGATAGGGACCAAGGAGGAAGTTTCAGGTACATGTGAATATGTGGCACTTCGTTTCTTAGGATGTTAAAGTGTATGCAAGCGCTAGGACTACATTGGGCATGAAACCATCTTTTCCTCATGTGGAGTCACAAAATGTAAGCTGTTCATGTGGTCATGCTCGGTGTTCCTACCCAGAGGAAGCAACGTCGTGTCAGGAGTTGAGCTCCCTCTTGGTGCTTGTGTCCCAGGAGGAAGAGCGCCACGTTTGCTAGGGGGTGGCTGGGGAATGGGCCTGCGCAGAGACATGAAGAGTGGGGCTTGCCAGGGCGCCCTCTGCAGGTGGGGAAGGGGATGGTATTTTCCAGGGAGAGGGACTCAGCATACAAAGGTGTAGAAGCAGAAGAAAATCCGTGTCACCCTGAGTGAACGCTGGTGACCCCAGGTGACTGGAGCATGGTTTTGCAAGATGCAGAGACTTCTGGAAATGGATGTTGGTGACAGTCGCACACCAGTATGAATGTACTTAATGCTGCTGATCTGTCCAGCTAAAGATGGTTTAGACTGTAAGTTTTCCCCTGTATGTATTTTACCACAATAAAAAGAAATTGCTAGGAGCATGAAGGGGAAAGGAGAGAGTGGTGGGAGTTGGGGGAAAGGAGGGCTGTACAGCGGAGCTGGGCCGAGTAGGGGCCAGGTCCTCAGTAATCAGAGCATGTGCTGAGCTGCCCCAGGGCGCCATAATGCCCTCCCAGGGCACCGTGGGATACTGGACATTTTTTGAGGGAAAAGCTATGATACCAACCGGCAGTGGGGATACCTCCAAGTGGTTTACAGTTTTATTATTCAGTCGCCCTCCATTAGTTTCGGTGACAATGGAGAAAAAGCTGGGCTGTTGCCAGTTGCTGTGAGGAGGTAGTGCTCTGCAAGAGAACTGTCTGGAGAACAGCTCCTGAGGGTGGTGGTGTCTTTTTTTTTTCCCCAAAGACTTTTTATTTATTTATTTATTTGTCAGAGAGAGGGAGAAAGCACAAGCAGGCAGAGGCAGAGGGAGAAGCAGGCTCCCTGCTGAGCAGGGACTAGATCTGAAGACCCTGGGATCATGAACCGAGCTGAAGGCAGAGGCTTAACCCACTGAGCCACCCAGGCGTCCCAAGGGTGACGGTGTCAAGAAATGGTGCAGCGCGCAACAGGCACACACGTCCTTGGAGGAATTAGGTGTGGTTATTTAGGAGTGAAATAAAAATCATACTTTTCTTTTGATTTATGGGAGTTATTATTTTTTTAGATGGCTACTTAGGGCATAAATACTAAGTTTCGATCTAATTACTTGACCCAGTGGAACTGTTAAGGATTTCTTTCAGCCCAGAGCCCTAGGGAAGAATTGCTCCCTCACAGAAATGCCCTGTGAATGGAGCACTTCAGGGAAGCTCTGGGCCAGACAAGACGGCTTCCTGTGATTGTCAGTTCACAGGCAGCGGCAACCCAGGGAAGAGCCGCGAGTGCAGCCGCCAGAAGGAAGCCGGCCTGGGGAGTTTGGGAGCGGGGAGCCTTCCGGATTGGAGGCTGGGAGGCTTGTCGGGGGGCCGTTGGCGGCGTTGTGTGGGGTGGTGAGGAGAAAGGCCTGAGGAGGCAGCTGTCGTTGGGGTGGTAGAGAGGACAGGACGTGGTGGCAGAGCATGCAGGAGTGGGAAAAGGAGTACAGGGTGCTCCCGGCCGTGTGGCTTGGGTCCTGGGCTGCCCCGGTGCCTGACAGCAAGGCGGGAGGCTCTGAAGGGAGGGGGACAGTGTAAAGGTGCGAGAGGCTGAGGGACTCAGTCTGGGACCGGCTCTGGCGGATGCACGTCTAGGAGACCTGGGTCTGGGCCACCGCGGGAAGGCTGGGTCAGAGACAGAGACGGCTGGAGCGGCCCGCAGGAGGTCACCCGAGCCCAGGGCTGTGGATGCAGGGCGACCAAGTGAAGGCCTGTGTGTTTGCATCTGTGTCTCTCTAGTGGGGACAGAAGACCAAGTTGAAGGCTCTGGGGGGCCTCGGGGTTCAAGGAGAGGAGGAGACTGAAGAGGAGCCGCAAGAGCAGCAGGAGGCAGCAAGACCGGGCGGGGCTCCTGGCAAGAGATGCTGCGTGGGTGCCCCGTAGGGTGGTCTGTGCCGTAGAGGTTACTGTCGACCTTGACAGAGCAGTTGCTAGTGGTCGGGGCTGGAGGCCAGATCGGGGTGTTGGGAGCTCGGAATGCCAGGGGAGGCCACAGGGGCTGGTGCATCCACGCTGTGTCGCGGAGCTTGATGGCAACAGAGTGCTAGGGCCGGGAGGGGCCGTCGGCTCCAGCAAGGGATGGGCTTATTTGGTCTTGGGGTTCTTTTGTGTTTAATGGGAATGAGTTGAACTTGTTTCTGTGCTTCTGGGAGGGATCAGTGGAACAGGAGGGGTTAACGATGCAGTAAAGAATCCATAATTGATGTCTTGATGGGACACGGTCCTCGGGTCCTCGAGGAGCCAGAAAGGAAGGCGTGGAGAGCTGAGCCCCGGGTACGAGAAAGAAGTGCAGGTACGGAACAGGGATGGCTGTGGGGAGGGGCAGGAAGGACGCTGCCGGCCTGGCCTCGCCTCTACCGCCCAGAAACAAGGTTATTGTTCGGGAGAGGATGAGGGCCGGGGCGGCCGCGAGGCAGAGGGGATGAGGCGGGAGACCTGCTGGCAGGCTTCTTGCTGCCGCTGCGTCCCTTCGCTCCTCTGGTGTGGAAAATCAGGAAGTCCCAGTATAGCTTCATAGGACTTTTACCACATTATAATTTGCATTGCCTCTTAGTGTGTTAGCCAAATAATTGCAGTATTGAATACAACTTTGACTTTGTTTAACTGATTCTTCTCTTCATTTTTAGTTAGAAATACTGTGTTCTGTCAACATCCTGCAGTTTATATTCATTGCCTTAAGACTGGACAAGATCATCCACTGGCCCTGGCTTGTATGTAACTTTTTCAATCCTTAAATAAACTTTTCTTTTTTTAATTATAAAAGTAATTTGTGTTCATTGTAGAAAAGTTGGAAAAGACAGGCTTGGGTAATGGACTGATAATCCCCCATGACCCACGGGGAGGGAGCGCGGCTAGTGTGCGGGGTTCCCTGTGCCAGACGTTACCGCTTCTGGAGGGCGGCTGAGCCCGCGCCATGCGTGCATCGCTATGGGTGCTGCTCTCTCATCCTGACACATCCTGAGCAGCTTCCCCCCGGCAAACAAAAGGTCCTCGTAAGCATAACTTTTAAGGTTTAATTGATGCAATATTTTTCCAATGCATTTACCAAGCCGTCCCCTTCCAAATATTGAAGTTGATACTAGTGCAATTATAAATCATGATGTAACGTATATTTTTGTGCCTAAAAATCTTTGCCTGATTTTTTTCATTGTATTCTTAGGAAAGTCTCCAGAGACAGTATTACTGGGCCAGAGGGTGGGAACTTCTTGAGATTTTGAAAGACAGACTGCACTCCCAACTTGCTTTCTAAAACAGTTGTGCCACTCTACCCTCATGCAGAGGGCGAGGTCTAAGTCCTGCTCAGAGCCTGTGGCTTCAGTTCCTGGGCGTTTGGTTGAAATTGGCTGCGTAGATGGATAGAGGGGGGTGGTGGCTAGAGGGATGTACACGGCAGGCTGTGGCCAGAGAAGCCAGCAGCACTTGCACTCCCGCCACAAATGCCTAGAAGGCAGGTGAGAACCAACACAGAGGAGGTGCATGGGCTCTCAGAGGGGGTCGTGTTGCGGTTTGGGTTCCCCCCCTGCTGCTTGATATGTACTTTTACATATAAGACATTTTCTGTTATGAACATGGTTTTACCGTTAAAAAAAAGTACCAAGTATAGCAAAAAGAGAAGATATTCATTTGGTGACGGGGAAGAAAATAAAGGAACATAGTTACCGCCATAATAAATGAAGGCAGAACTCATCGCCTCTTCCCAAAGTCTTTGATAAAACAGCCATAATACAAAATGTTTGGGTACCTGCCCTCCATCTTTAGGGTGCTATATCTGGAGAGGGGTAATTGGGTACAGCATTTTCTGTTGTCATGTGAAGGAAACTAATCTGAGTAAGACCAGCATTTTAGTATAAGGCGCAGTCAGAAAAAAAAGGTGAGGAATTATGAATGTTTTCTGTAGGTGAGCGGAGAGATTTTTCCAGCCCCAGTCCTGGGCAGGCCCCAGCAGATGGAACAGTCTGATGGCATGCTTCTTGCAGGGAGCAGGAGAGAGTGAGGGAGGCCACTCTGATCGGTGGTGGGGGTGGTGGGGGTGCTAAGTGAGCGCTGCTAAATGAGGGGCACAGGGAAGAGACCCTCTATAGACTGTACAGCAAAACCTACCATCAGGAACTCCAGGCTACTTGGGAGGTTTAACAAGCACACACCAACTCAAGTCATAGGTCTCAAAACAAAATAGAAAACCAAAGAACTGGCTGAAGAAAACATAGGAGAAAATCTTTGGGAACCTGGAGTTAGATGAGGAATCCCTACAAGTGGCACTAACAATAAGGTCCATAAAAGAAGCTTAGAATTGAAATGAGAAGAATGAAAAGACAGGCCACAGAGTAAGAGAAAATATTCGCAAAGCACATGTCCAAACGAGGACTTGTATCCAAAACATCTGAACTCTCAAAAAACAACCTAATTTTAAAATTGACAGAAGACTTGAAAAGACAATTCACAAAGAGGATATACATATGGCAAATAAGCGCACGGACAGGACATCATTACCCAGTAGGGAAAGGCAAATCAAGGTCAAGATGAGGTCCTTCGAGATGCTCATCAGAAGCAGAGCTTACACAGGATGCAGGGCACAGAGGAGGGTGGGAAGGGATGGGGACACTCACACATCGCTGGTGGGGATGCCGAGTTGGAGAGGCACTTGGAGAAATAGTTTGGCCATTTCATGTGAAGTTAAGCACAGAGTGGACATAGGATTTCGCAGTGCCGGTCCGGGGTGTATCCCCTAGAGGAATGATGCTGTCCGGCCACACGAAAACCCACGCCTGAGTGTTGGTGGCAGCTTTAGTTGGGACAGCCAAAAGCAGGAAAGCACCCAGATTTCCTCCCGCAGGTACTGGACACACAGGCAGTGGTGCCCCCACCCTCTGGAACGTGGTGGCAGGGCCGTAAAGAGAAGCAGCCTGTGGTCACGCACAGCAAGGGGGAGGAACGTCACAGGCCCTGTGGACCAGAGCAGGCCGTCTCGGGAGGCAGCGCTGTGCGATCCTCTGGGGACAACACAGCGTAGTGAGAGGCGTCAGTGGGTGCCAGGCGTTGGGGGTGGGGTGAGGGGATGATGCCGTGTCGGACGGCACAAGGGAGTCCTGTGGGTGAAGCGGCTGTCCTGTGTCCTGCCTGGGGACACACAGCTCTGCACATGCGTGTGTGAAAGGTCATAGACATGTGCACCAAGAGAAGAGTCAGCTTACTGTTAGATAACGAGACAGAGGGGTGCCGGACAGACCCATGGGGCAGCCCAAGAGGGAGAAAGATTACACAGGGGAGCCAGGGAGGCCCCAGGGCTTCTCTGGTGTGCTCGTGTGGGGGCAAAGCAAGGTGTTTCTGGTGCGACAGCAGCAGGTGTGGAAGTCGCCCAGGCGCGGTGGCTGGGAACGGGCGGCAGAGCCCTCAGAGTGTCCATGCGCGTGTGAGTGGAGGGCAGCCTCGGCCGGGGTGGCCAACAGCCGCCGAGAGGGGGTGTCAGGGTAAGGTGGGGTGAGTGCGCGGGGTGGGGGGCAGGCCGCCCTGTTTCCCTTGGGGTAGAGCCAGGTGCAGGCTGAGTGAGGTCCTGTCCTAGGAGGACAGCTGCCAGGCTCTTCATCCTGAGAGTGGCCCACAGCAGAGCGTGTCTCGGAGCAGGTGGTGGCCCCAGGCCATCCTTGGTGCTGTCCTGAGGGCTGTGGTCACCGTCTTAACTGCAGGCATCTGCCGAGGGCGTGGCTGTGCCTGCCTTCAGGTGCTGGGCGCAGAACATTCAGACTTGGTTCTCTCCTCCTTCCCTCAGGTCGTGTGTGTCCCTCTGTGGATTCTCATGTCCTTTCTGTGCCTGGTGGTCCTCTATTACATCGTGTGGTCTGTCCTGTTCCTGCGCTCCATGGATGTGATTGCAGAACAGCGGAGGACGCACATAACAATGGCACTGAGCTGGATGACCATCGTCGTGCCTCTCCTTACTTTTGAGGTGAGCTTCCGGCAGCAGAGGTCTTCAGGCCCTGAAGCCCACCCTACCCCGCGACGGCCTTCCGAGGGCCTGGGAGCCACAGCACGGGAGAGGGTGGAGGGGTGGAGGAGGGGGTGGGGGAGAATTAGAGCGGCCTGCGTTTGGGGCGGGGTGAGAAGGAGTCCTGTAGCCGTCGTGCCGTGCAGCGTGCAGCGGCGTGTGTGGGCGGGTTTGCCTCTGGGAGGAGGGACTTGCTGGGTTCTCGTATTGAGTTCCCTTAGAGGCGGACTTAGAGGCCGTCATGGTTGCCTCTAGAACGAACCCCACCCAGCAGGAGCTTCCCGTAACAGTTCTGGTGTTGGAAACTTCCCGAGTGCACAGATTTTGCTTCATCCTGAAGTGGGATAAGTTTGTCTTGTGCTTCCCCCCAGAATAGAGGGTTTCTCTCGTCTCCTGTGGAACTGACCTTTCCTCTCATGAGACCCGACGAGGGAAGGGTGGACTAGCCTCAGACGGTGTCCGTCCTCAGATGCCTTATCAACAAAACCTCAACTATTTCTCTTTCTTTAGATCCTGTTGGTTCACAAACTGGACGGCCACAACGCGTTCTCTTGTATCCCGATATTTGTCCCTCTCTGGCTTTCCTTGATCACTCTGATGGCAACCACATTTGGACAGAAGGGAGGAAACCACTGTACGTACTCAGCACTTCAGAAGCCCTTGACCTGTGTGTGTGTGTGTCTGTGTGTGTGTGTCTGTGTGCCTGTGGCCCCAGTCTATGACAGGATGAGCCTGAGGGTCCCAGTTAAGGATGTTGCCCAAGGAAGGCCTGGAACCTTCCAAGGGAGGGGTGAGCTGTCAACCTCGCTCTCCCTGCCCTGCACTGTGACCTCCCTAGTAGTGTACTCTGCCATCTGAGGTAGGGCTGACCGTGGCAGGTAGCTGCCCAGACCTGTCCGCCCTGCTGCAGAGTGAGGGTCAGGACACCTGCTTCCTGGGGTCTCCCAAGGATTAGATAAAAATCCAAGGATTAGATAAAAATCCACATTGCCCACCAAACCCCAGGAGTGCTCTTACGGTCTGCGTCCTGCTGGCTCTCCCCAGGGACATTGTTGACATCACTATGGCTTGTCGGTGGTGCCCTGCCTGCTCTCTCTTCTCTTCACCTGCGTGACGGCATATTCGGTTTTGAAGCGATCTTTCCTTCCTCACTAGACTGTAAGCTCCTTTGCAGGTAGCCCGAGCATGCCATTCTGGAAGCCAGGGAGCTGGAGGGGGGGTTGTGCCCTGGGAGAGCCAGCACTGAGCTGATGGTCCTGTGGTAGAGAGAGCAGGAGCAGGCCTCAGAGAAGGACCTTTGCCGGGCCCTGTGAGCTCAGGCTGCCTGCTGGCCTGGACCAGCGTGCCTGCCAGATGCTGACAGAAGCCCCTTTTTTGGTTGCCATTCTTGCCATTCTTTGTCCTGTGTGAGCATATCCAGTGGGGAAGACGACAGGAGGCTGATGTGGTTTTGTTGCTGCAGGTATCCATCCGAGACGTACTGGAGCCATCCCATCACCGGAGCCCCCGTCAGAGGGCCCGGGAGACCTGTGCCTCCCGGGCCCTCTGACGGGGGCCCCGGAGGAGGGCACCCCCCTCCCCTGATCTCTGGCAAGGTCACAGTGCTCCCTGGGGTCGCGGCCCATGTGGGAAGCCCACTCAGAGAGCCAGGGAGCCACAGGCGTTTCTTCTTCCCTCAGTGGGTATCAGGCTTCGCTTGATCTTCATTGCTAAGGCAGCAGGAGAAAGCGTTACGGTGTACGAGCAAAACTTCACACTCAGGAAAGGAAAGTGACAGGAGAGTCAGTGGAGGCCAGTGTTTGAAAAAGTGCATCCTTCCTTTTCAGGGTGGTTTGGTATTCGCAAGGATTTCTGTCAGTTTCTGCTTGAAATCTTCCCATTTTTGAGAGAATATGGAAACATTTCCTACGACCTCCATCATGAAGATAATGAGGAAACGGAAGAAACCCCAGTTCCAGAACCTCCTAAAATTGCTCCAATGTTTCGGAAGAAGACCAGGGTGGTCATCACCCAGAGCCCTGGGAAGTATGTCCTCCCACCTCCCAAATTAAATATTGAAATGCCAGATTAGACACACTCCCTCGAACAGGATGCAAGTGGACTGGGACGCACGCTGTCTTCTACCCTCCTCTGCCTCTCCGTTTACCCCACCCAGAACTGGAACTGGAGCAGGGGCTCCAGGGACTTCCATCTCATGCCTTGTTTGCACTCAATGCCTACCAGTGACTCACCATGACGGGACGCACACAGGGCAGGGGACGGGCGCGTGCAGTGTGGGCTGGGGGGGGGGTTGTCAGCGGCTGTGGGTGTGATGGAGGGACCACAGGTGAGAAGGAGAAAGTGATCCCCTCTGGGCAGGTGCCTCAGGAGCTGGCTTGGCTCTGTTGCGGATGGCTGATGAGGCCAGAGAAGGAACTGGTTTTCAAAGTGCTAAAATTCCCATCAAAAGTGTTCTTTGAAAATGTTTCTTTAAACCAGGCTGGCCTCACCACGTAGCTTCGCGTCTGCCATTGGGGTGCAGTCAGTGGACACTGTCGCCGAAGCTCCGGGGCCCCTTGCGCCCGCACCGCCCTTTCTGTGTAGCTCCTGCGGGGGGCGCTTTCTCCCCAGGCAGCGCCGACAGCGGTTTTTAATGGCCCCATTGCTGAGCCCTTTCTAATGGAGTGACTCCGTGCCTGTATAGTATTTATACAAATATTTTAGCATTGTAATATACCGTGTCAAATCCTAGTTCTGTACAGTATATTCTGTTAAAGTATTTTTTTACGAGCTTGTATTGGAGACATAAGGTGTTCTGATGCGGAAGTAGAAGTTGCTGGCACACCTGTCCCGCCCGGGGGCGCGATGCCATCAGGGCACATCACCATTTCCCCCGTGAGATCCGCACAGTAGCTGCTGCCGCCGGAACAGCCACAAAAACCAATGCCTATGTCCGGGGAGTACCGGCTGTCAGACAACAATCACGCGTGACCTGAAACTAGAAATGCGGGACAGAGTGGCTGAGACGGGGAACAGCCACTGGAAGGGGGAATTATTAAGGTCTGAGGCCTTGTGTCTGCCCTTGACAGAAGCCCTTCCTGCTGGTCCCAGACCTTTCTTGAGAAGAACAATGGCTCCCAGCGTGGCGAGGTTGCGGCGCGAGCCCTGAGGCAAGGCAGAAGCAAGCAGCCCTCCAGGCTGAGAGTCTTCTGGGAGAACAAGCAGCCCTTTGTTCCGGGGGGGAAAAGGAGCACCAACATGCTCACCCAGGACGGGAGGGAAGGGTTTGACATGTGCAGCAGCTGGCGTGGCGGAACCGGGCTCAACGGGTGTCCAGCACACACGCGCGCGTGAGACCACCTAGCACGGGCTCCCGCAAGCCTGTGGTCTCTGCGGTAGAGGGAGCGCTCGGGATGGCGAAGCCTTACCTGCTTGGTGTGGAACGAATGTAGCGCAATCCACTATTTTTCCTCCCTGCAGCTGTTCAATAAACTGGTTCCTCCTTTTCCATGGTACCGTGTGCATCTGACTTTAGATGTGGTTCAGGCCACAGGGATGCTCTCAGCCCACAGGGAAATATCCTCTAGCGGCCAAGGGGGGCCGGGGTGCATGGGGGCGGGTGAACATCTCTAACGCACGTGCAGGGACAGCCTGAACACGGAGCATGTGGAGGGAAAGACGGACGCCCTGGAGCCCCGACCAGTGGCCTGGGACACCCCTGCCGACACGGCGACAGCTCAGGAGCCTCACGACACTACTCTTGAGCCCCAGGCCAGTCTGAACCCGTGACGGGCCCTTGTCGTGGTCCCGAGGCAGCGCCCGGTTAGGAGAGCCGCTGGTGCTGCTCCCGCCTACATCGGTTGCCCTGGGACCTCTGTCTAGCGGCCCCGGCTGTCTCGGCATTTTCCCGGGCACTCAGCTCGGGTGGCATTTCAGCCCGCGGTTTGTACCTGCTGGGGATGGAGTGAGGCCCCGCGGGGAGCCCCAGGCCACAGACTCTATGTCCTACTTGCTGCTAAACAAAATAGCCTCCAGTCTGGCGGTGTCTCTGCTGCGTGGAAATCTCTGGAAACTCACCGAGTTCCACGCCCACAATCGAGTTGGGGAGGGAGTGCTTGGGGGGAGGTGGGCCTGCACGTGGGCAGAATGTGCTAGAAGGCTTCTCTGCATGGCCCCCTCTTCTGGATCCTCCAGGCCCCAGAGCCCAGAGAAGGATCCCGGAGTTCAAACCCTGGCCACCAACCAGGACGGGTGTCCCTGCCATCGTCAGTGGAGGAAAGAAAAGGAAGCCAGCCGGTGTGAAGCCAGCAGCCCCGGGCCTGCCCCACAGTCTGCCTGGGAGGTGGTGGCAGGGTGCAGAGGGGGGCACGCGCAGGCTGAGGAGAGGCAAGGAAGGAGAAGGCCTCCTCCTCCCCTCCTCCTCCTCCTTCTCCCACCACCACTCCCCTCCTCCTCTTCCTCCTCCTCCTCCTCCTCCACCTGCAGGGTGGTGGTGGGACACCTGGCTAACCTGTTCACCTAAGCAGCCATCGGCCATGTGGCCTCTGGGGACCCACAGCGTGGGTGGACTAGGAGGGTCTCCGAGGAGGACCTCAGCACCCTGTTGGGATGATGCTAAAAAAGGCCCGCGTGGCCCGCACCCTTGACCGTGGACGCCCGCCCCAGCCTCTGCTCCCTGCTTGAAAGCGTGCGTCCCGTTAGGGACTCTCGAGACCCACGGGCCCGGAGAACGACCTCTGACCTCTTGAAGGACGCAGGCCAGTGGAGGTCAGCCGGCACCCGGGGAGATAGGTGCGGGATGGAAGGACAGTTTGGGGTTGGCCCCGGATGTTGGGTGCGTTACTTTAAAGCCATAGACGAGGGTCCCCTTGCCCAGGGAAGGACCGGGTGTGACCAGAAGGTTGGCGTGCCGACAGGTCACTCGTGTGGCTGGCCCTTTATCAGGTCACTGGCTGGCTGGCTTGTGATGTCACCCCCCCAAGTAACCGGAGACCCTTTGTGATGTCCCCGGGCCACCCTGTTATCAAGGGGTGCGGCCGGCCGCGCCGCACTCGCAGGTCTACAGGAAGGAGGGACGAGCCGGAGCAGAGTATGGCCAGCAAGGAGAAGCGGGGTCCGCTGGGCCCGGCGCGGGGCTTGGGGCCGCCGCCCTCCCCTCCAGAAGCTGGGGCTCCTGCCGCCGCCGTGGGCTCGGAGAGCAGCGCTCCTCCAGCACAGCCTCCCCTCACCCTGGTGCAGCCGGTGTCCCCTGGGGACCCCGGCTTCAGGCTGCTGCTGGAGGAAAACGCTTTCCAGGCCTTGACCCAAGAGCCTCTGCTCAAAAGGCCACGCACCTCCCAGGACGCCCTGTCGGTGGGAGAAGGCAGCCTCCTCTGCCTGCCCTTTCCCAAGAAGCTGTGGGCCATCGTCAACAGCACCCAGTTTGCGTCCATTTGGTGGGCCAAGGATGGCACCTGCATAGGCATCAACGAGAAGCTGTTTCAGAAGGAGGTTTTGGAGAGGGAGGGTCCGGACAAAGTGTTCGAAACGGACTGTATGAAGAGTTTCGTCCGCCAGCTCAACCTGTATGGATTCAGCAAACTGCGCCGGGACGTCCACACATCCATCCGCCTTACCAGCTTTCTCACCGGAGGGGCCCCTGTCCACGTCCTGAGCAAGGTAACGGGGGCCGAGCCGCCAGGCTCTGGGGTGCTGGGGTCGGCGGGGGGGAGCCCCCGGGGCCGCCTCCTGGGCATCGGGGGCCCGGGTCTCCCTCTGGGCGGTGGGGTCGGCGACCGAGACCCACTGTGGGGAAAGTGCCCAGGATGGCGCCAAGGGTGTCGGGGGTGCCTTCTTCAAGGACCCGCGCGATGGGCGCGCTGCCGACCCGGGCGGACACTCAGTTGGGGGCGGCGGCACTGGGAATTGGTAAGAGAGTAGACGCTCAGAGCTCTCCTCGCAAGGGAGAAACGGTCTTCTCCTTTTTTTCCCCTTCTTTCTTCTGCGACCCTCCCCTCAGCCCCCCGCTTTTCCCGTTTCTCTAGGTTTGTGTCTTTTGGTTGGGTGTGTCTGTGAGGCGATGGGCATCCGGGGATGGCCACACGTGAGGGAAGTCGTTGCTCCGGGCAGCCCCAACGGCGCGCCGCCTGCCCGGCCCGTGCCCGAAAACCTCTGCAAACACTGGATCCTCCCGCCCTGCTGCTCGGGGGGTGGGGGAACCCCACGTCACCAGGGGCTGTGAGCGTGCCCACGCGGGGCTCCCGCGGCTCTCAGCCATCGCCGAGGCGGGGGGACAGACCCCCTTCGAGAACTAGCGGTGTGCCTGGGCGTCTGGGGGCTGTGCTGCCCAATGCCCTTTGGAAGCCTGGGGAGGGCTGAACGAGTGGGCGTGCTTCCCAAGCCCAGCGGGCCCCTGGACGCCCAGAGCCGGGGACTCCCAGCCAGGGCGCGCTTCTGCGGCCAGCGGACCTTGGCTCGGACAGCCGCCCAGGCTCCCGCCCCCGTCTGCCAATTCTGAGCCTCCCTCCCTCGGACTCCAGGCCCCCCTCCTTTGGACGTGGATGCTGACCCAGTAGGCCCCTTGGAGCCTTGGCCCCAGGGGCCGTGCGTATCCTAAGTGAGCGAGGGCGGACGATGGGAAAGCGAGCACGCGGCTTCCTGCCCGGACCGGGGCCTTCCCCCAAGAGGCCTCGGGCCTACGGCTGCCTCCGACCGCAGAGCGGCCCCGATCCGGCTGCCGCTTGCGATCAACTCTGTTGTGACACGGACTCTCTTGTCCTCTTTCCGTTTTGCCCCGCAGTTACAGTTCTACAGGAGCCCCTTCTTCAAGAGAGACTGTCCTCACCTGCTCCTGAGGATGAAGAGGAGAGTGGCCGTGAAATCCACAGTAAGGCAGATGGAAAGCGAGCCCGAGCCCGACACCCTGGGCGTCCCCCCGGCGGCACCGAGGCCCGGCCTGCGACACGAGGGAGTCCCGTCCCCTGCCGGGGACCCGCCGGAGCCAGAGAGCAGCCCACAGGGCGAGGGCCCCACCACCCGGGTCAGGAGCGAGTCGGCCCCTCCTGCCATGCTCGGCGCGGCGGCGGCCAGGACCCCCGTGCCCGACACCCACGCCGCAGCAGGCCGGCCCGCGGACGGCCAGCCCCAGGGTGCCCAGGCGCCCATGCCCCTCGCGCCGGACGTGGCCCAGGCCGCGACCTTCCCCTGGGTCTGTGTCACGCTGCCTCCCGCGCAGATACACCCTTCCGCGCCGGTGCTGGGCCTCGCCCCCGGGCCCCCCGTGCTCCTCCCCGTGCCCACCGTGCAGCTCCCCGTGGCTGGGCTGCTGCCGCTCTACCACACCTGGGTGCCCGGCGTGGCCGCTGGGCCTGGTGTGGCTGCCGGACCCGTCACCCCCGTGACCGTGACACCTCACCCCCCGAGCCCCTTCCACTGCTGTCCCGACTGCCGCTGTTTCCCCGAGTACCTGCCACCGACCGCTTGGCCCCCCGATTGCCCCCCCTAGGCACACCACCGCAGCCAGGGGCCGTCTGGTTGTCGGAAATCAGGCAGGTTAATAAAATGTGTCAGAAAGGGAGCCCCTTTCTGATGAACCCCAGTGCTCTTGGCCTCTGCGATGTTTCTTTCTTAGCAGCGGGCTAGGCCTCAGCTTTCTGCTTGCGCGGTCAAGAATTTGGCACGACACCACTCCCGGTGGATGCAGGGGCCCAGGAGACCCTCGGTCAGGCCCCTCGGGGTTTCCGCCTCCGCTCCTGAGGAAGGCCTCCGTGCAGCGGCGCCTGAAGGGTCCGAGAAGCTGGCATCGGGGGCCGAGGGCTCACCGCGGCGGGGTTTTCCTGGCCGGGCAGGCGCCCTTCCCTGTCGTGCCGGGGCCCTTGTATGACAGGACCTTCCCTTGACCCACGAGGAGAGGTCAGGTCGCACCTCGTAGGAGGGGGACAAGGTGGCCCTACCGTCCTCCAGCACCCAGAGGTGGGTGGGGACGGCCGCCGCCGGGCCCTACGGGTTTGCAGCGCAGAGGCTGCCTGCGGGTGTCTGGAGGACAGGATGCATGGGTGGCTCTTCCCGCCCCTGTCAGAGGAGCTGGTGACTTTTCCCCTTTGTTCCCAATCCCCCTCTTTCTCTTCTGAACTCAACACGTCGAGCGCGTCATGCTCCGACTTGGGAGGAAACAACCTCGGGCTCCGGGGGTGTGCAGTGCCTCGAGAACGCGCCCACTGCACCCCGAGCCTCCTCAAAGACTGACTGTCTCAAGGGGCACAGGCAACGAGCACCCAGGCTCCCACCATGGCCTTCACGGGCCATAGACCATACCAGATGGGCTCTGGAACCAGGCAGCGGGAGAGAGGGGGGAAAGCAACCAGCCCCAGAACCGAGAGACACCGCTGCCCTTAATTTTTCCACTGGGCAGGAGTAGGGAGTCCCCCCGAGCAGGGGGAAGAGCCCACAAGCGAATGGACACATGGCAACGGCAAACAGGGGCCCCCGTCACCCTGAGGCTAGCGCGCCCCTGACCGCGGCCCGTCTAGCCTGTCCCAGGCTGCTCCCTTGGGAACTGACGCTCACCAGTGGGTCCTCACCCCCTTCCAGAGAGTCCTTAACCTGGGAACGCCTTAGCTCTTGGCAGGCGCACTTGTCTCTTCATCCCTGCCTTGGACTCGCACGTGCCTCCGGATCCCGAACCACACAGCGTTCTGAACCCCACCCCCCTAAAAACCTCCACCCGCGGGAAGCCTGATGACATGCACGTCGCCACAGAAAGGGGCCGAAGGGCCCAATGGTCACCTGGGTCATCTGCTCTTCAGACAGGGCGTGGGCGCACGGGCACAACCTAGATGGCGTGGCCTCGGGGCCAGACCCATCCCACACTTCTTCCCACCGCTCAGTCCTGCTTGTGTGCCAACCCTAATAGCCTCTGCTGATGGAACCTGGCTGGCCCGGAGCCCTCCTGGGCTGGGCTCCTGCTGAGCACTCTGAGCTCACCGGGGAGGGAACTGAGCATGAAAGCGTCCCGTGGGCCGAGCCGAGGCGGCCAAATAGGTCTTGGAGGCAACCGGGGCTCGGGGGGAACAGGAGAGGCCGGGCTGCATGTTACTCTCTTTTCTTTTAAGATTTTGTTTCTTAGAGGGAGAGCAAGCCAGAGCTAGGGAAGGAGCAGAAGGGGAGGCAGAGCGAGGGGACGGAACCTCAAGCAGACTCCATTCTGAGCGGGGAGCCCGACCCAGGCAGACGCCAGGACCCTGCGATCATGCCCGCAGCTGAAACCCGGAGTCAGACGCTCGATCCAACACCGAGGCCCCCAGGCGCCCTTGGCTCTTCCTTTGGTTCCCAGGATACCCTCCTAGGTGAGGCCATCTGGGAAGGTGGAAGGGCAGGTTGAACAGCAAGGGTGGCCTAGGGAGGGCCGTGGGCAGTGTGCTGCAAAGTTCGAGAGCCGGGACGTTTGATACCCACGTGGGAGAGCCGGGTGATTTTGGCGGCCGTGGACTCTCTTCCCACCAAGCGTTGCCCAAGCCGCCTCCGTGCTGGGCTGCGGTCAGGTCTGTTCCTCAGTGGGACCCCACCGTCTCCGCTAGGCTCCCTTTCTCTCTGTCCCTTCTTTGCAGAAGGGGCCAAGCGGTGACAGAGGGGAGGGGAGGGGAGCCGGAGCCTTTCACCCCCTGAATGGCCACCCCAAGGAAACAGAAGCGCCGTCCTCGTCGGTCCTCGGGCGCGTGTCCCGTGGAAACACGCACGGCCTCTTCTGGGTGCCCTTGAGGGCTTGGGGAGGATTGTGGTCACGCCTGTCACAAGACTCACCATAGGGAACACGAATCCCCAGTGCCATAGAGACCGACTAGGTATTCTGGGCCATAGCCCCAAAGGAGGGCATGGCCTATCACGTGCTTCTGGGACAGCACATGAAGCGGTGACCCGCGACAGGGCTTTCTGAGAGAGGAGCCAAGAGCTGAGACCTCGTGCCCCAGCAAAGCATTCGAAACCGCAGCCCAGTGCCCAAGAAGAGCAGTTCTCACCCAGGGCGACCCCTCACACCAGGGCGATCCCTTCACTGGGGACACGTGACAAAGGCTGGAGAGGTTCCGGTGGTCCCCACTGGGGAGCGGGGCGGGGGTGGGGAGGGGATGCTCCTGTCATCCGGAGGGCAGAGGTCAGGGATGCGGCAGAACGGCCTGCAGTGGCTGGCACAGCCCCCCCCCCCCCCCGCCGCCAGCACAAAGGAGGACCCGCCCCTCCCCCCCCCATGCCCATAGTTCCCTGGGGCACAGACTCTGGCCCTGAGTGTGCCCACCCCCCGCCAACTCTCCCCCAATGGCCTCCTGCTTCCACTAGATACCCTGAGGCTCAGGACCTCAGTCTGCAAGGCAGGATTCAGAGCAAGGACTTGCCCCTCCCCTTCCCCAAAACACAGGCCACTGAAAAGGTCAGCTGCACCTGATGACCGCTCAGGTTAAAGTGTGCAGAGTGCAGGTCGCCATGACCACAGAATGGATGCCACCCTTAGGAAAGCCATGTCCAAGGCCTACCGGGTGCCTCCCAAGCAGGAGGCCGCTATTGCCAGGTGGGGGCGCCCTGCAGCTCTTGGGAGCCCACTGCCTCCCACAGGCCAGGGAACCCTGGGTTTCTGTCCTCTTGGCTACATGGCCGAGGTTCGCGGTTCATACTCTGACATTCTTCGAGTTTCGTACTCTGACATTCCTCCTTCTTCAGCTACATTTCAAAGCTGCATTTGCAAGTGTCAAGCCGTGTCAGCCTCGTGGACCCAGGGGGCTTAGCCTGTCGTGAGGGACACTGGCCGGGCCTTCGGCACAGAGCCCTCGGTGGAGGACAGCCGCCGAGGATTGGCGTGAACCTTTCCAAGCAAAGACAGGGCAATGAATCCTGCTCTACAGACCGGCAGGTAAGGCTGACGAGAGGCCACAGTCAGAGTCTCGTCCACACCAGCTGCACGACCAGGGGCTCGGGCGTGATGACAAGACGCAGAGACGGGCCCCGGGTTCCAGCCCTCGGCCCGGGGCAGAACCTCAGAAATGGGCAGGGCGGGTCTGCGTTGTCTCCGATGGATCCCGCACACAGGCCCTCAGAGGTCCGGGCCCACTGTGCTGCCCCGCCCCCCGGTCCGGCCCTGGGACCTTTTATGCACCCTCACCCACCTGGCCCAGGGGCCTCTTTCCCCCCAGAGCGGTCCTGGCAAGGAAGCCCAATCTGCTCTTGGGGAGCCCCGCTACTTCCCCAGGACCTCTGACCTCCGAGAGGGCACTGGGGTCCAGCTAGGGGAGTGGGGACCCAGGCCGCCGGGAGGCAGGGACCCACGGGGCTCGTCACGGATCTGGCCCGGAGGCAGCCCCAACCTCCCAGGAGCCTCCCTGTGGGTGGGCACGGGGCAGCCAGGAGCCCACCTCCTCGGTCTCCCGCCTTCTCTATCGGGAGAGCCTGACAAACGGGGACCCGGCGCCAGGATGCTCGCCTGTCCTTACACCCCCTCCCCCACGACTGAGACCACCTCCAGCCATCATGGACAAGAGGGGCCAGGAAAACCCTCTGTCCAGACCATTAGGAGACAAGCGCTCAGGCGACTCAGCCTTTCCTTCTTCCCGAGAGCAGCGAGAGAGGCAGGAGCCACTCGGAGCACCTGGGCCACCTCTGGGTGTGCTCTTGGGTCCAGAGGCCTGGACCACCGTTCCCCTCACTGACCACCCCGTCTGTCACCTGTCAGGGACCCTGTTCCTGCCCCCGTGCCTGTGAGGGGCCCGAGCCAGGTGGAATGCACTGGGGAGACGGGAACGGGCAGTAGGTTACGGAGTGCCCACGTGTGGGAGCGCGGGTGGACTTGAGCTTCTGGGGACAGCAGGCCTCTGATTCTGCCCCCAAGAGGGGCCTTCTGTCCGGCCACCTGGAGCTGATGCCCTCAGCCTCTCCACTCCTTCGCAGACAGCAAATGGCCGTGCCCGCACTGACGCTCTCGGGTCCGGCAGAAGCCAGTACCCACGGAGAGTGCCGCGCCGAAGCCAGTGCTGGGGAAGTCTCGCATGGGCGCTTGCTGAAATGTGGCCCAGCTTTTGTGGCCTTAAGTAGGAGCGAGGGTCCTCGTGCGCTCACTCCTGGATGGTGGGGGCCCCACTCATTAAAAAAAAAAAAAAAAAAGAACAAAAAACGCTCCCTTTGCCTGGGGTGACGACCCTTGAGGGATCCCCTGAGCAGCCACCTGATCAGGAGACAGGCCCGCGTGTCGCCCGGATGATCGCCCCGGGGTGCCAGGCCTTTCTGTCAGCTGCTGTCCCACTTCTCTTGGGGGCCGCGGTTTTCACGCAAGATGGAACGAGGCCCCCGGGCACTCAGTGGGGGTGCCATCAGTGGGAGGGACGGAAGGGTGTGTCCACTTCCAAATTCATCCGAGCCGCGCTGACCGCCCCCATGTGGCCGCATGTGGCCCATGTGGACGTATGTGGATGAAGGGCCCTTAGGGGGATCATGAAGGGTAAACGGGGTCCTAAGGGTCATAAGCCC